GATTTAGCTCTGCTGGCAGCAGCGGAGAACTTTCACAAATTCTTCGTGGATACACAAGATTACTCGATATGGAACAGAGGGAAACTAATCAATGAGCTCAAGGTGTATTCATAAATATGCAATGCTTAGATAAAGAAATTTTGTTCTACAGAAGTTGATGCGGTCCGTGTATAGCGGCGAGCATCAGGAAAAACTACTCAATGATATCATAGCTTTCTATATCGACAGAGGAGAGAAGAAGAACAAAGAATTTTATATTGATCGCTTTGCAGAGGTAAACACTTACAGCTCCAAAATTGTGTGAAAGTTCGTAAATTTAGTTTATAAGTGACGTAAACTTCAATGTTCCTGCTGTAAATGGCATTCTCTCTCGTCTTAACACGGATTGGAAGCTTTATGCATATACCCTTGACTATTATAATGACGCCTTATTCGCGGATGAAGTTCCTCAGAAACTCAGAGGTTAGTTCGAATATGACTACGAACATTACTCCTTATTTCGCCCGAATCCACAATATGTAGGTGTTTTATAGGAAGTTCCCCAAAAAAGATTGGGTTTTTGTGATATTGTATGCTCCGAAAGTTCGTACCGTTTTTCAGACTTGCCCTCTAATTTTTCAAAATAAAAAAAGAACATTCTAAACTTTCTTCATCTTCTTTTCTTCATGGATGATTTTAAACTTTGTTATGTGCAGGAAATATTCCTCTTTTTTGTGGGTAAGCATTTGTCCCAAAATGTTCATCAGCGCTCATGTATCGTCAGATTCTTCGACCCATGTTTTTTACCAGGACCGACATAGCACTTTTTCAAAATTTTCCTTTTAGACTTCTCGAAAAGCGTTAATAGAAGGAATGGAGCAAACAAAATTGACGCAATAATTTTTTGGCATCTAAATTAACGCTTCATGATCCAAATTATTTTTTTTTGATGCTAAAAATTTCCAAATTTTGGTCATGTGTTTATGATGCCTGAAGTCTTCGAGGGAAAACTCGGTATCATACTTGCTTTGGAAGGATTCGAGGCTCAAATGCCGCGAAATCAAAATATGATAGAACGAATAAGGCTCACTTGC